ATTTTTTAATATTTTAACCTTTACCTATTTGTTTATCAAACTTAGGTATGTGGTGTTCTTCAAAATTCAGGTCATCAGTCTTTTTTTGACAATAAGCGAACCATATCTCACATTCTTATGTCTCACGCCACAGTATAATTTGTATATTAAGTACCAAGAACACGAGTTTGAAAATACATGTGCATTTTAATTTTGAGCACGAATATTAAAAATACTTAACCCAAATAGTACCGTTAATTTATATAATTAAAATAATAGTTATAATGCCTAATCATCACTAATAATTTGAGGGAACATAAAAATCTATATTATTAAATACTGATATTCGCTTTTTTTTAGTATAAATCATTAAAAAAAAATTTTTAATTGTTGTTAGTAGTCTCAGCTGAATAAAGTATATTTAATACAATTCTATTTACTTGACTACCTTGGGGTTATCTCGTTAAATAGATTAAAATTACGTATAAAGTATACTCTACAGTCTACAGCCGTTATAGTATAATATATAGGTAACATGCGGCATATTGCAAACGAGCTTTACAAGTATTTTAGTTTTAAATTTAATACTGCTTTTACATTAGTACTCATATAGTAGACATGATACACCCATATCATTAGACATTGGTAGACAAGCCAAGTAGGTACATAATTAATTTATTTTGTACAATGTTATTTAATTAGTTCTTACAATTAAAATTAAAATTAAAATTCTATAATTAAGGTAAGATGGGTTCCAAAGTTAAAATTTTATAAATTGGCACACAATAAGACACAAGATCATTTACCGCATTCACTCCTTTTAATAACATTTAATAGGGCTATGGCATGTGAAATGCTCGTTAAAAATTCGATTTTAGGTATTAAACTGTGCATATAAATTAGTTACGTGAAAAAAAATGTGTAGAATAAAATGATTGTGTGAGATTTACATAAATGAGATTACATTTTAAAAATGTTTATGTAATATCTATACACGTATTAGGTATAATATATAATTACACTATATATCTATGTATATTATACAGGGTAATTTTTTTTAAAGTGAACCAGAAAAAGGAAAATAAATTAGAAATGTATATCTCTGCAGATTTCTGAGACTCCCCCCCCATTAATTGTTTGAGTCATAACTAAAAAAAAACCATAATTTATAAGTCATTAGTCCGATATAAGATTAGAAATATTTGTACCTTAATATTAATTACTTACCTATTTTATTATACCCATGTATAAATTAAAAAATAATTAGCTTATAAATAATAGGCGATAAAAATACTAGTTTTAAAAAAACGGGTAAGTTGGTGTCGCTCAGCTGTACAGCTGCTATACTGTAATGGATTGTATTAAACTTGAATTTAATGATATAATATCATTGTATAAGAAGAAAGATTCTGACCGGAGACGGTTTATCAGTCTGGATTTTTATTATTTATTATAGCCTTTAAGTTGAATTAATATTATAATTTGTTATTCGTTGCTACGGTGATAAACAAATCGTTATAAACTAAAATCCCATTTTAAGCGGTTTTTCGTAATTTGTTAGTAGTTTTTCCCGTGGCATTAAATAAATATTGAGAAAATCGAAAAATAACCTCTTTATAGTACCATCTTGATCCAATTTCCTAAAAGATAAGGTATTATATGTTGAAATCGAAGCACTCCTTCTGGTAGAAATATTGTATACAGGAAATAAAAAAATAAAATAAAATAAACACCGTTGTAAAAACACTAGCTTCCTCGCCCCGCTCAGAATCTAAAAATATATTTTTAGTAATCGTTAGTAAAAGTAATTATTGTTTACTGATTTTTTTCGATTGCATTCATACTAAACCATATTGTTTGAAAATCTTTGTGTTTAAGTATATTAAATAACAACCCTGATAACCGTGAACGCCCGGCGAGACTAGCTATATACCGGCCAAGACAGAATAGGTCAACACTAAATGTCCAGACATTTTTCTAGTTCTGATCTGAATATATTTGCGCGTTTAAACAACGAGCCTGTGGTTAGATGTATTTTGGAAAAAAATACTCATAGCATATCATTAAACCGTCAGCCAGACGTTTTCGGGGCGATGATATCATCACGACGATTTGGTTAATTCTAATCGCAGCCCGCCGTAGACTAATGACGCGTGCATGTTGATATTGTGTCTTGCACATTTTCCGCTGGCAAAACTTACCCTTCCAGCTGTAATGCCCATGCAAAACCTATTGAGCTCAAGGTAAATGTGGCACAAACGTGGTTGGCCAAGAATTGCGTGACCGGTGGTCAACAGTCGCCAGCAGCGCGAGGGGTGTGCTTGTCGGCCTTCTATAAACTCCATCCGTAGTAGTTTTACCGCCGTACAAGCCAAGCGTACGACGACGACGACGATTACGGCAGTGGCCGAAGTTACAATATTATTATAAATTTTTTTTCGCTGTTATAAAATATAAGTTATTACAAATCGGTTGATCTCTGTTCGGATATATTTGTGTTATTTTTCGGCTCATACGAGTGACGACAGTCCTTCCCGCAGTCGAAAGAAGAACGCGATTTGGAATTTAAAGTGAGTAGACAAAGTGCAACGCTGTTTATAATACGCTATGTATACCTATATAATGCTTAGGAAAATGAATTCAATATATTATAATATGATGCGTTCAACAACTATATATTATAAACAATAAGACTTCAACACATAATATAGAGATCCAATCATTGTTTCGATACTAACGAACACACACAATATCTCTTCAAGTCATACTATAAGACATAAGTAATTAATTTATTATACATAAATTCCTACAATAATATGATATAAACGTTATTGGGCTTATAAGCTCGCGTGCTTTGTATATAGTTGATCAACAAATACAACGAAACGGTTTGCGTTATTTAATAAATATTTTAATAGGCGTAATGTGTTTTTTTTAGGTCAACTTTGGTGTTTAAATTCTTGTTTAAAATTTTACGGGAGCCGAAGGGTGAATTTTAATGTAATAAGCTATAATATTATTAAATAGTCCTCTCACACTATATTTAATAGCTATTTAGGATTTACGCAAAATACGAAATTAAATTAAATAGATAACAAAATCTGATCTTATCTGATATATTATAATATTTATATATGTATGTAGACACAGTTATAAAGTATTGAGGGAATCAATAATTATGAATCAGTGCCGTAGACAGGAATTTAATATGGGGGGAGGGTTATATTAATAATTACATATTATATAATAAATTAATTAATACAAAAAATACATTTATATACTTTCCATGTTGTAAGGGGGGGGGGGGGTTTGAATCCCAACTTCCCCAGTCCCCCCCCGTGTATATGGCCCTATTATGAATACTAATTCAAATGTAGGCATGTGACTTATAGTTTAGTGAATCTATTCAAGTTACCATTTATTTAAATTTAGGAATAATTAGGCAATAATTATATCATATTTTTATTTTACTATGTAAACCTCCATAGTTGAGTTAGCAATATTTTGTATTTTTTTGATAACGCGTTTCCACTTCCCATAAATATGAGTGAATAGTTGAAACAATTTTTTTTATAACATTTAAAAGAATGCCAAACAATGATATGCAATAATACACTAAACAATCACTAAGTTATACACAAAGTATAAGTATCGAATAATATACAGAGTAATAATCTTGATTTTAAGATTAAACACCTAATAGGTACTTAATTAAGTTAATATAAGTTATAATCTTTATACAATAGTATACGTGCTTGAATTTATTCGATTAAAATAATAAACTGAATTCAATAAAAGGCCAATTTACACTACCAAATTATGAATTGTCGTCTTTGGGTGGTTAATTGTCTTCATAATGTTCGTTTTAATGTCAAGCATATCTAATAAAATTAGCTCGCAATTGACGCATTACTATACATTTACAGATTGAGTATAAAAAAAATAATAATAATATATTAAACTAGTTACTGTCCAATTCAATAGGACAATTAACAATTTCATTATGATACACGACATTTTTTTTCTCATTATCAAGTCTAAATATTCAACATTCAACTTAAATTTTTAAATTTTGGCATTGTATTAGTTTATTTATCCACTTGTGTGAAGATTTCTATCCAATAATATAAATTCTAATAAATTACACAAATTTAAATATTCGTCAAACTTTTAGATTTTTCTACCTAGGTATTAAAATATATATTATACATTTATAAATAATGTATCAATCAATTTTACTATCAAGCAGTTAGAAAGTTTCAAAGCTCTGATTTTGATTTCAACTTAACGAATCTACTTTAGAAATATTTTTATCATGTATTAGATAACAATATTTTACTTAATATACATATCGGATATTATAAAACTATATTTGAGACATTAATTTCTCGTCTCTATTTTGTTATAAGGACTTGTATAAATAATCTTATTTATTATAATATGTGAAGAGTGTAAATAACAATTAGGTACCTATGTAATTTATATTATAATTCTATAATGAGAATATAATTGAAAAAATATTTAAATATATATGTAAAGCGTTTCATAACTTTGATGATTGAAAGAATATTAAGTTTTAATAGCTTAAAATAATTTTTACTTTTAGAAAAATGTGAAAAATTTCAATATGAAATTTCTTTTTCTTTTAAAATCTATATTATATACCTATCTATATTTTTTTCAAACACTAAAAAGTTAGATTCGTATTATATTATAATTCTTGGTAGAATATTTTATCAAATCCCAAACATATTTAATGTTATATTGTATTATTTGTATATTAATTATGAAACCAAATAATTACAGCTATCATTTATTTTACAGGATAGCTAATGGAGAAGGTCAAGTACTTTATCGTTACATTTTTGTGATAAATATATTTTCAAACGAGTCACGTACGTATATATAATATAGGTACTTGTGTGTTGACCAAATTACATTTTATGTGAGATTTAGCTTTATTAAATATTGTTTCGTTTTTTATAGAACTACAGCTAAAACATACTTGATGAGCTGTCAAAATGTTGGCGCCAACTGTCACTATTCAACCATCATCCCGACCGTCCAGTACGATGGGAGAACGAGAAGTTATGGCGTCTGCGGATGGCAGCGAAGAAAAACATGAACCAAATGTGAAAGAGATTGTTGCCCCTGCAAGATTAAACGTCCCTCAGTCCGAAAACAAGTCAGAAAGTGAAGATGAAGATTATCAAGAAGTAAGATGATTTGACGTAGAATCACGTCCGATTATGCCAACTAAATTATATTGTTTTTGTAAAATGTTTAGTAGGTACTCAATAGATTTTTAATAATATGACAATATGTTACCAATTTACTACAATTAGTTTTGTATTAAGCGAGTTTATCAATAAAAATTATGAATTGTGTTCGATTAGTGAAAACCTATGTTAAATCAAACAAGTATTTGTAATGATTACCATATAAATATAAAAATTATCGCTATTTTAAAACATTGAAAGTTCGACAAAGCCCATACTATATTTAATTTTAAATTAGATAAAACAAATACAAATTTAAAACACAATTAAAATGCACTAAAAATGTGGTGTTATTTGTTATACGCCATTTTAATTTCAGTTGAATAATCCGAAGTTCTTATATCCATAAAATAAGTGTGAGATGTAAATAGATCAAAAACTGTTTGCTAAAAATGACAAATAAATTAATTAGGACCTAATATTAAGTTCTAAAGCAAAATAATTGTATTACTAAATTATGCTATAGGTATACACACTACTGTCTATGGTGATACTTTATTGTATACATTTGTATAATGTTTATTATATTTTTTATATAGAATAACACATGACTTTAAAGTAATAGTTTTGTTTAAAATTATAAATCATGTTAGTATGAATGCGTTTTTATCGCAATCAGAATTGTAAAATAAAATTTCCTTAAATTAACGCTTACCATTCATTTAAGAGAGTACTTATATTTGAATATTTCAAAGTAAATAAGTTGGACGTTAATGGGTAATTTATAGAATTTATGATTTAAGAAGTAGAGTGTCGTATTTTTGACAGTATTGAATTATTTTAGCTTATAAATAAAAATATAAAATTATAAAAAAATATCAACACAGAAATTTGTACATATAGGTATAAATTGTTACCATACAGATTTAAACACGTTTAATTGAATATTAAAAGACATTAAACTATCAATTATAATTTTAGGTGTCACGTCACACACAACAAATGGGACATAATGTCGGACCAGCGGGATATTGGCAGAGTGTACCCAACAGCAGAGCAGCTAGTCCCGGTAATGACAACGGAAGCGAAACATCATCAGTTATGCCTGCTCCTGTCCCTGGATTGGCTGCTTCTAGAGTAGCTAAAGACAAATATAATCATCTATCGTATTGGAAAGCGAGAAAAGTGAGGAAATTAATTAGTAAACATAAGGGGAAAAAATTAGGTACCAAACGTTATAAATATGTGTTAGTACCGCAATGTTATATTATTGCAGATAAATACAGAACAATCCTAAATAGTAAATTATGTGTGACTCTATGTGACTAAAACATATGTTATTACTTTTAATAGATAGTATAACTATTAACTATTATTCAAAATGACAACAAAATTAACTTTAATTTATACATAGTATGTTAATTGTTATATTTATTTTTATATATTATAACTACCACCAGTAGCGTATACAGAATTTTTTTTCGGGAGGGGTTACAATTTATTTTTGTCGAATTTTATCCGAAAATGATTTATTAATGATAACGTTGTTATCATTTAACAATTTTCGGGGGGTTACAACCCCCTTATGACCCCCCCATACCCCTCCCTGACTACTACATTATACACGTATTATGAACACACTTATTCAATAATCATTTAATACAGTATAATGTTTGATTGATACTTGGTTATAAAATTATTATTACCTTTGAAATCAAATATTTGTCTCTAAAAAGTCCTGTTATTATAAATATAAAAATATTTTTACAACTTTTACTTATTGGTTATTATTATTGATCAGTTAATATTATTTAATTTATGTAAATAAAAATTATTAATAATAGTTTATATCCACAATTTTAACTTGTAATTTTTTTTTACTTAAGGTGTGAAATAAAAAATATGATGAAAAAATTTCTATTTTATCTAATTATTAATCATAATGTATATTATTAATAATTTTAAAAAATGTCTTACTAGTTTATAAATTGTGTATTTTATATTAAATTAATAATCGCTAGGTATTTTCCTACAACATATAAACCGGGTGATTATTTTATTATTGAACATTCACTGTTTCAATTAGTATAAATGATTTGAAAAAAAAAATGTTTACTAGTTCTAGTTTTTTGGAATTTCAACATACAGTTTCAATTTCATATTACAAAGCAGTACATTTTTAGTGAAGTATTTTGAATGTTTTTGATACGTAAAAATCGAATTTAGGACGATTAGTTTATGAGTTTTGTATTTAAGGTTTAGATGGAGTGCATATTGGTATACGGTAACCCCGCAAAATGTTTGTCCACTTCTTTGCTCACTAAAAGTTTAAAATGTTTAAATACTTATAATTCATAAACTACTCATCTTAAATTCGATTTTCATGTATCGAAATACTCAGAAAAATATTCTGCTTTGAGAAGATGAAATTAAAACTGTATGCTGTAATTAAAAAAACACTTAAAATAATATTAAAAAGCAAATTTTTTTGATGAAAATGTTGTTTCTTAACTACTTGAAACCACGCAAAAGCACTTAAATACTTTTTAAATAATGAGTGTCCTACGTTTAACGAATCACCCAGTGTTTAAATAAATCTATCTAAGAATTTATTAATCCATATTTCGATTATTGTTTAATTGTTATGTGGCAGTCGTTCTAAATGTCCTTATATAAATTCAACTATAAGTATTATAATACATTTCATTATTCTTTTGATTTTTAAAATTATTAAACAATAATTACTTCAATGAATCTATAGTATCAGAAAAACCAAGTATCAATACCTATCAATTTATTTGACATTATTAAAAAAATAATCCATTATACTGTGAATTCGTAACTAAAACAATATAATATAAGCTAAACTATTGCACTATTTGTAGGTGACGTTTTTTAAAAATGGCGATTTATACTTTCCGGGATTAGAACTACGGTTCAGACCTGGGAGAGATATTGGAAATTTAGAAGCATTATTGGACAAATTATCATCTCGAATGGATTTACCTCGTGGAGCACGATATTTGTTTTCTATGGATGGCGGCAGGGTTGTCAGCTTAGATCAATTAGAAGACGATCAGTCATACGTGGTTTCCTCTTATAAAAGTTTTAAGGTATTTATTTAGCACAATTTTAATTGAATGACAAAATTAAAATGTCATAGTAAATTGTATTTGTTCAATTACATTTTAATCTAATTTATTTTATATTTCAATAAGATATTACATTGTAAACTTTTACTCTACGGTAACTGGTAAGTGGTAAGATATGTGATAGCTATTCTGTCCAATACTTTATAATTAAATATTATTTAATTTGATTAAACCGGAATTATAAATTGTTATAATATGCCAAATTGTATACGATGAATGCAATAACCAATGTTGATTGAAATATATTCATAAATTAAGTAAAAATTGTTCAGCAAAGTAAAATTGGAACGTCATTATATACCTACATATATAATCTGGTTGTATAAAATCGTCACGAGTCTTGACAATAATATGTAATAGTATAATTAAAAGTTAAAACTATATAAATCCTAACCGTAAGTTTTAAGAAGTAAGCCCTCGATAAAATAATTCCAATAAATAACAATGTAAGGTATAGTTGGATCGAGTATTTCACTATATGTACAGTCAAGTATCGATAAATGGAATCTCGGGGGGGGGGGGGGGGGATAAAAATAAATTCGATTATGTATGTTTTGAGTTATTTACCTCAAGTCTTCAAATATAACTTAAAAACACTTTATCTTTGACAATAATAAGTCATATTGCTATTGGATTTTAACGTTCCTCAATTAAAATAATTTGAAAGCTTATAAATTATGGTTGCAGGATTTAAAAAGAAAACTATTAAAATAATAAATATACATTTATGGGAATATTTTAATAAAATATACTGTAACATATTGTTTAAAACCTTCAAATATGTAAAATAATTGTTTGTAAATCGTATGTGTACTAGAAAATAGTTATAATGTAAAACAAACTTTGATCATCATATCGTATTCCTCGTAAGAAGCAGAAAAAATAAACATGCTAATGCATTGAGAACGCTACACACACATGCGTTGTCTCCGTATTACAAATGTAAGACAGAAAAAACTGTTTTGGCGCGGGAAAGAACCGATAAAGCTACAGTAATAATTAAGAAATTAAATTTTCACTACATAAAAAGGAGAACTTTAGCTGTGAAATATTGTTTTTATTTTTTCGATATCGGAACTACAAAAAAAGTTATTGTAGTTTGAAAACACAAAAAATAATGGATTTTGAAACAATAAGAAGTGATATCAAAAAATTAAAACGATATTTGACAGATAATGTTCTGACCTATCATTACGGCCTGAGTGGTTCTATCCCGCGCTAAACAGTTTTTGCTAGTTGTACATTTGTAAGTCGGAGACAACACGTGGGTGTTTAGACTGTTTAGAGTCCTCTTAATGGGTTTCTCCAAAACTCAATATTTTCTAGATTAGGAATTATCACAATTTTTTAGATCAACTTAATGTAAACGGGTGAAAAAAGTTGGAAAGTATTATCTAACATTCTAGGTTTTTGAGGTCATTACTGAGATTCTGGTTAGTGGTTTTTATAAATGATCATATATTTGATTCGATCTTTTAACTTTTTGGTTAGTTAACTGCATTTTAGATTCTGAGCAGAGCGATAAATATTCGTATTGATTCATAATGATTGGTGTTTTTCTTTTTTTTTGTGTATCTGCGTACACGAAAGTACCTGGGTACTTAATTGAAATAATGGTTTGATTATCAGCTTCAGTAAATTTTCTGGTGGGAAAAAGAATATAGTTGTGCATTCGAGAAGTAAAAATTAAAAATTCCCAATTTTTATAGTAAGTTAATGATTAAAAATTTAAAACATGGTTTTTCATAAGTATCTAGTTCTTATATAGTACTTCTTATAATATAGTATACTGAAACCAAATATCTAAAAAATATATTCATAGGTTTTTTTTATTGATATTTTAAGTTCAAATTGAACGAAATTTGATATTTAAACGAATAATTATGATTTTATAGTTATTCTGTTGTGAATTAAAAAGATTATTCACAGCGACTTTAACTTTCAAAGTATATAAGTATATAAGTATATAAGTATATAAGTATATTGTATATCTAAACCGGATAATATTTTCAAATGGTTTAACACATCCTTTAAAGCAACCTTTTTCAGACACCTACTGTACAGCAGAGCGGTAATTGCCCACCTTTTTAGCATGTATTTTCTAGATAGTCAATATTATAAATAGGTTATTATTTTTTTATTTTTGTTATTAATTTCTTGTAATTTTTCTACAATATTTACTGTGTGTACAATCAATAAATTTGACATGAAAAAGTGTGGAAAATGTGCCTTACTAAAAATTAGTTATTATGAGTTGTGTTTACATATTATTATATAGTTTGGTTTTATTTGAAAAACTCTGAAAAAATCTAATATTGAGTAGATCAATGCATTACTGCAATAATATATATTTATAGATGTATTCAATTTGAATTCAATTATAAATTATTGCTTACGAATAATAATTCTGAGCAGAGACCATCCCATATTAATTCTAAGAATGCTTTAAGATTATTTAATATTATTATGACTTATGAGTAATATATTTTTCAATTAATATTACTAAACGTTGAACTAATAACAATTATTGTTGTTTGTAGTATGTTGTACATAATTGTTTTTTAATCATACGTCAATATCACGTACCTAAAAACGGTGCGAGAGGTTCATGGTATAATTTGTACAAATATAGCTAAAACTTAGTCTAAATATTTTGAAAATTGTATTGCGTATATGAATAAAAAATATTGCTAAATTTTGTATAATATTATGTCAAAAAGTTCTCTCTACAATTAATATTAATTGGTGAGCTATAACATAATAACTTTGATTGAAACTTTGGTAGAAAAAACCTTATTTTTCAGTTAAATATCCAACTTTGATCAAATATGAACTTTAAATTCTTTAATATTTATTTACGACGAACTCTGTATTAAATTTCAAGCTTTTTGACTTACATACAATAGTTGTCTCATATAGGTATAAATCGAAAATAAACTAAAAAAGTAGAAAATTTCAAATGTCAATAAATTTTATAAAAAGTGAAAATTGGTATATTTTGAACATTTTAAAATACTCATATAAAAATATTTTGTGAAAGTATCTCTACGCCCTACGGTTATATATTCTTGATAAAAAAATAATTAGTATAAAAAGTATACATTTTTTTAAAGACTGGTTTTTCCTTAATTGTGTTTTAAGATTATTTTGAAAAGTTTTTCTCCAAAGTGCTAACTAAATCCAATTTGCTCAGAAACAATCCTCGAAGTTGAAGATTAAAACATTTGTACTGCTCCAAAAGCTGATGACCGACAAAAGAATAAATAATATCATTGTAAAACAAATACATTAACCGCTCCACTCAAAATCTAAAACTAATATCACTGCAGGAGATTATATGATATAAGTGTTGCATGATACAATCAATGGTAATAAACCAATATAAAATACACATTTGAAATATTATATATATTATAGATGACCCAGTGGCATAGCCAGGATTTTAAAATATGGGTGCTAAAGCCAAAATATTAAAAAAAAAAATACTCACCAATAATTAACAATAATAATTTTATTTTATGTTCTTTCAATGTTTTGATATGGTCAATGGGGGGGGGGGGGTCATGACCATCTTCCCCCTTATGCCTACGCAACTGAGGTGGCCCATTTATCACGAATCACCCATTATTAAAAAAAATGATTACCCTTTTTAAGATATTTTTTTACCTTATCGTAAGATTTATGAGAACAAAAAAATACTAAAAAGTAATATTTTTTGCTATTTTCTATTGTTTTATTATAACTATTACACTTTTTTTTGTACGATAACAATACAATATACATTTTTAGTTTGATATTCTGAAGAAGAATATTATTCGGACGTGTAGGGTATGAGTTATATGATTAGGTATACTGTATAGCCGTATAGAGGTATAGGTATTGAAACTTGAAACTATATAATTTTTATTAAAGGTAAGGGTGTGTATACCCAGTCAAATGTTGGTCCGCTACTCCACTCATAAAATGTTTAAATACATAATAACATAACTACTTGTGGTCAGGTCCGAAATTTGATTTTTACATATAAAAATACTCCAAATAATATTCTGCTTTGGAATAGAAAATCAAAAATGTATGTTATTGAATTTTTTAGAGAGTTTTGGTTTTTATCACGATTAAAGATATACAGGTTACTCAACGAGACAACGACCCTATAAAAGTGGTGCGCTTAAAATTTAAATGTTGGGTTTAAACAGCTTATCAACTATGCGAGAATAACTACTATCACTCCATTACATAGTATTGTATATCTATATTGATATATTTTGTAGTACGAAGAGAAATCACTTTAATGCAAAAGCGCTAACTGTTATTCTTGCTATGACAAGATCGTTAGTTTTAAGCGCACCAAAAAAATAAGTTGCGTTGAGTAACCTGTATATCTTAAATCGTGGTTTTTATATTACTTAATTAAGTAAGGTTAGGAATAGGATCCAAGGCTTGCAAACGTTATATTTGACAAAAAACTATTGAAATTTCTAAAGGTAATTATAACGGAAAGCGATAATCAAAAATAATTAAATATCGCAAAACAAAACATAACGATCAACAAAATATATTATAATATATCATATACCATTAAGCAAAACATAACGCAAAACGAAATATTTTAAAATCTATTTATTTAAAAGTTCTATTGGTTTCGGCGGTTTCGCAGAAACATTTATTTCATGCGACAATCTAAGAATTGATTATATTAATATATTTTGTATCCGGGTCATTACCTAAACTAATTAGTTATTATTAATTAAATATTAAAGGCATTAACACTATTATAAATAATGATAAACGCAAATCTTGGATAACGTTTTAATTCTGAATAACGATAAACGCAAAAGTTGAATAACGTTTTAATTCTAATAACAATAAACACAAAAAAAAAAGTGGGTAAGTGGATGTCGCTCTGCTGTACAGTAGGTTACAAGTGGGTCACTGTATAATGGATGCTTTTAAATTTGAATTCAATGATACAA